TTCTCGCCAGCAGCGACTTGGCCTCGAAATCGACGTGGCACAATATTTGTTTTAGCTCTTCGACCGTAGGATCCGGGTTCGATTTCGTTATGCTGTCGTATTCGTCAAACGTGTTACCCGCGGGGCATCCGGTCGTGGCTTTGTGCAGTTTATCAATTACATAATTGGTGGTGGCGACAATTTTTATATAGTGTTCCAGCAGATTGTTGGAACGCTGATAATACCAAGACAACATATTAATGTACAAGTTCACCAGCCACAACACGCCCATACGCTTCACGTTGACGCTGTACAACGATGCTATCTGATATTTTACATTATGACTGTAATAACTCACGTTGCCGGTGGACAGCGTGGTTTGCGACGCATAATGGCGGTAGATTAAAAGCTTGACGAACCGCATGTGTGTCAGTCCGCTAAACAGGTACGTGCATTTTAAATCTTCATACAGTCCGTCGTTTCCGATAAGATCGACATTGCTCGGATGATTGTAACCGGTTTCCAACAGTCGTTCCGGTTGACAAAAGCACAGCATCGAACAAAAGACAATTTTTTTGAGCATTGCGGAGCGCAAAGTCACGTTTGCTTTGTGCTTTTGCGGGTGACGAAATGTTCCAACCGAAGAAATTATTTTTTATAATTGTTTGTACGATTTTAAATAATTACCGTCTACCACGTATATTTTATAATATGATTTATAACAGTCTAAAAAACGTGGCCAAAAAGTTCCACGTACATCGACTTGTTTCTTACTACCACAGCGATTGAACGGTTTTTGTTCAACTCGGTGATTTAATATTTTTTTTTACTAAAATAACGTGTTGGTGTCTCATCATTTTACAGTAACAGTACTTATTGCTCGTTTCGTATTTGTTCAGGCCACATTTTTTATTTTGACGGTTCAAAATAGGCGTTTTCTTGTAGCATAAAATTATATAGAATTATTGTAATAAGACTTTTTATTTTGCGGAGTCATTTTTTCCATAAAATTCTAACAATTTTTCATACGTAGCATAGTAATATTATATATTTTTATTCCTTGCAAAATATTCATAGCTATAAAACCAATGTATCTATTGCTAACGATTTCTGATCAATAGAAAAGCTCATTGATATTAAACAAATCAGTCAGTTTAAATAAATCCCTCTTGAATACAGACACAAAAACAAATACCTTACACCGTCGATAAACCAGAATTTTTTCGGCATCGCTTCGAAGCTTAAGTGATTAAAAATATAGAAGCAAATTTAAAAGAATATCGATAGACAAATAGTTTAAAAAATGTATTAGACTGAAACGCTAACATGGGAAAAGAGGACATAATATATGTATGTACGTAAGATGGATTCTTACTATATTAATATGAATGTGTTATTGGGCCGGATACAAGAAATTTCATGGATTAGAGTTGATAAGAGATAAGAGATATGTTATAAGAGATTGGAAATAGGTGATAAGAGATAACAAACAAGTTAAGTTACTTATAAGATAGTTGCGGTAAAAGTTGATTGGTATAAAAGAGCTATTCCAAATATTATGAGATTTAAGATCTCAAAGAGTTATGTAAATTTATATCATTCTCATTTAAAAACAAAATATAAATTTAAGATATTTTCAAATTAAATCAACTTAAATCATTTCAGTTGCATTTTAAAATTAATTTGGGTTAAGTCACTTAAAATAGATAGGTAAACCACTGAATAGACTGAAATGTTTTTTATCTATGGTCATAATATAGATTACAGGGCTTTTAATTCCGTTACGCAGGTATCATTACTTTGTATTTTTATGTTATTCATTTAATCACTATAAATTCTTTCGTTATTTGAATAATATTATTATTATCTAACAATATGTCACGGTTAAATAATAATCGCCAAGCAGAAAAATTAGTTAGTTTAGTAAAACAAACAAACCACAACAATTCTTCAAACATATTTTACAAAAACAGTGAGTAGAATAATATCGTCCAAGCTTTTGATAAACGACTCCCTATATCTAGTAAAAAGCAAAAAGATTTATTAGATCTTCTACCTCTTATCTCACCAGTATACTACTCATTTTACAAAAATCAAGATCAAGAAGATACATTAACCCAGATCTGGTAGATATGAACCATTAAGTACAGTAAGTTTAAATAATACAGTGTAATACGGGGTATAGTACAGCGATGTTATTATAAATGTCATTATTTAATGTTTTGTAACTGATTGGAACATAACACTTTTCTTATTCTGGATCCATAAAAAGATATCTAAAATAGTATTAATATTAATTAACTTTAAAATTGGTTACTTTCATTTAAAAACTGAAATATGTAACATTACATCGTTATATATATATAAAAATCTCAAGATATAGGGTAGGTTAGATAGGAAAAATTGGAAAAGGGGCCCGGAAAATTGGAAAATTCGAAATTTTAGGGAAATTTTATTCCGATAGTAATAATATACAATAATATTAATTTAGCAATAACATATGTTTCTTGGCAACCTAATCTAAATGGTTGTTTAGAATGATCTCTATCCGTATTAAATTACTCTCAGTCCATATGCGAGTAATAAATAAACAAGCTTACAATGTGACTGCTCATATCGCTTAATTCCACATTCTTTTGTGTTACTATAATTGATTGGATGCTGATTTTGCGTTTTGATGTTTTCCAAGCTAAAATGCGGTTAAAAGAAATTCTGCTGAAGCAGTTCAAAAGTCCGACAAAAAGAAAAAACGTGTCGTCAAACAAGAGGTTGTTTCAAACGAAGAGTCAGATGAGCAGTCTGAACACGACAACGGTGGTGAGATCGGTGAAGAACCAAAAAAGATGCAATACCGACTAACATCCGTTGGGCCAACAATGATATTCAAAAGCTGTCGTTAACTCGATTGGAAGTGGTGCTTCCGAAAAACGACACCCTTGTGTTCCGTAATCGTTTACCGAAAATAGATTGGGACAAAGTAAAATTCGATTACTACAATAGAGAAGAGTGTCAGACAGCATTGACGACGATTCAAGACCAGCTGAGAACGCAAAAAACATTGGGTGATCTTGCGAAAGACGCAAAACATCTGTTGGCCACCAAAGGTATTGATACAAGTCATTCCATGCAAAATCGTGTTCAAAAACCCAAGACTGCTTACATGTTGTATTTTACTGAAATTTTTCACGAGTACAAGAAGAAATATCCCGACACGATGCTACCACAACTCACGCAAATTATAGCAGAAAAATATAAAAACTTATCGCCTGATAAAAAGCAAGGCTTGCGGATAGGGCGAATTTACTGAAGACTAAGTACACTGAACTCATCGCCAAGGCAAATGTGGGTTACGTCAAACCCAGTCGTTAATACAGCAGCAAAAACCCAAGACCCCGTTCAGATATTTTTGGAATCGAAGGGATGGAAGGAAATTAAAAAAAAAATGAAATTGTTAACCATTTTAAAGAAAATAATGGGAAAAGATGACTGAAAAGAAAAAATCAAAATGGATTAAATTAGCCAATGAACGCGAGCAAGTTTACTTGGACCATTTGAAAAAAGATCACAAAGACGACCCTGCATTTAATATGCCGAAAAAAAGTGCGTTAACCAAAGAAGATAGGATTATTTTAGAATCTCAGTCTGGAAAACCCAAAAAGCCAACTGTAAAGAACTATAGTCTTTTCTCGACAGAAATGTTATAAGGAGATTATCTTGCCGGAATTCCTCCAAAAGAAAAAATGGCGACTGTGGCGAAAAAATGGAAATCATCTTCAGAGGAAGAAAAACAAATTAAAAATAAACACTGACCGTTATTGGACTGAATTCAATGCATACCTAAAAACATTACCAGAAGAAGAAAGGCAGTTAGAAATTAACAAAAATAAAGCCAAACCGAAAAAGACAGAATCGAAAATCGTACCTCGAATAAATGCCAGAGAGGGAATTTCAGAAAAACCGAAAAATTCATCTAAAAACAATCTGACGACAAGTCAAATGATTCTAGTATTATTATAAGATGAAAATAAAATATATTGCTGTGTAATATTCATGTTTATTGTTTAGTGTTTACTTAATAATTCTCTACATATTTATATAAGTAAGTGTGTGTGAATTGTTATCAAAATATAAATGTATTGTGTTGATTTATGCCCCCACTCCAACATGCTTTGTCCCCAATATGCCCTGATCCCAATGTACTGGCATGTTTTAAATATATTTCTTAGGTAAAACACATTAAATAAAATGATGAAGTTGTCAGTCTGCCATTAGATAAAATTGATTATTTAAATAATCAATAATTAACCAAATAATATTCAAATAACCAAAAATATTCTAAGATATAAAAAAAATGCGGTATTATTTCCTTTTGTTAAGTCCTTAAAATTACATAATTTTGGTAAAAAAGTCAAATAGTGTACTTCGTATTGTTACTTAAGTTGTTGATTATAATATGATTAGGCGGATGACCCAAGTATTACACATTTTCGGGATTGTAATCAGTACTTTTTTGAATATTTATTTTAAAAAATGTTTCTCGTTAATCTTTAAAAATAGTTGTTTAATTTATCCATAAAATAAACCCATGTATTTTACCTACAATGGGTAAGTAGTAAAAACTACATTATATCCCATTTAAATAACGTACACATTATTTTTTCTTATTTCAAGATTTATCAAGTGTAAAATGTATTTACAAGAGTTTTGTTTTTGTAATTGTATGTTATTGTGCTGTGTAATAAATCTACAAACATCTTCGAACAACATACATTTAATAAAAATCAAGTGTATTTTGTTTTGACCTAAAAAAGCATATTTTTTTGGCTAAATGTTTGGTTAAAAAAAAATAATGCAAATCTCGTTGTTTGTTTTTTAACATCATAAATATATTAAAGGAGGGTTTGAACATATTTTATATTTGTAATATTACACAAAATATGTTATATCTTATTCTTTGTCTAGTTCTCTAGTCGGATATACTTGAATTGTTAAAATAATATTTCATATTGATGGTTTTGAAAATGTACATCAAAAAGACTATCGTCTCGGTTCTTATACTAACAATAATTACAGGTAATACATACTTTGGTGCTTTGCAAATTTAATATTGTAAATGATATACACGTTATTACGAGGATCATTCAGAAAGTAAGGTTACATCATCATTTATACAAAAAGCGAAAAATGCATATATTTTAATGAAATCCACAGGATATGTCACAAGTAATATAATAAAACTTAAACGCCTTCAAGTTTAATGCATTTTTGTAGCTGGGGGACCAACTTTTGTATGCCCGTGTTATAGACCTTTTGCGCCAACCTCTTAGCTACTTTTCCACCATCTACTTCATTGTCGCGAACAAGGGAGACTTTATTTGAATGGTTTGTATCATTACGTTAATGTTTTATTATGTATTACAGACGTTGCCGCAAGACCGATGTATGGTCAGTGTTATTTATACATTTACTTTTAACCTATACAAAATAGCAATGAAGTTTCCTATATTTTTGTAATAGGCCGTTTATTCATAGAAACTTACCTATATAAGAGAAAAAAATAATTTAATATTAATCATTAATTCGTTAACATTGAAATAATATTGTAAAATATTTAAACGTACACCTATTGGTCGAGTGAAAGACCTGTGGAGGAAACTTTTTTGTACTCTAAATATATTGTCATCATGTCGTACATTACGTTTAGATAATTATTATGGACAATTCTTGTCTATTCGAGACTTTTAAAAAAAATTCAGTTAATAAATTTAGACACCTACCAGTACGTAAAAAATGAGGTTTATAATACCTTTTTTTAGTCGACTAGTTATTTATTGTTAGTTTAATACATCATTAGCTGTATTAATATTTGTCTCTGTTATGTGGCGTGTAAGATAAGATGAGCGTTAAAATAAACAATGTGTTAGTTCTGATATTTAAATTAAATTTTATGAGATACCTATTTTATTTATTTAGTTTGCTTTATTATGTATATAAATAACATGTTTTTTATGCAGGAGGAAGTGGTAGTAAAAATGACAACAAAGGCAAAGGTAAAAACATTTTTTTTTTTATTTAAAAAAAAATACGTAAATAAAATACTATTAATTATCTGTTCAAAGTTAAACGAGGTTTTCCATTCTAATCCGTTAATGATTAAATTTGTATTAATTTTTTTTGTTAAGATTAATAACCTTTTTAATTCTAATCATTTATAATAATTATAAGTATGTATTATCAACAAATTAATCTCTGTTTTTAGGCTACCTCAACACATATTGAATTGTAAACGTACCATTATAATTATTGTTAGTGATCCAATATAATTTTTTGGGAAAAACAAAGATATCTCTCATGCCTCAAAAGGTTTTGTGGTAGACGTAGACCTATGGGGTACCCGATTAGACGTTACCATACTCGTGATGGGGTTGGTTCTCTTCCCTTATTTCCATATTATAATGTAAATTGTTTTGCGTTATGGGTGGTGTATGATAATTATATACTTTGGAACAATGATTTAACGTCACCATGTGGTCATCACTTTGTGAAAACAATGAAATATTTATTTTTTAATTACTTTTCGGCGGTACTTTAAATCTATAAAAATATACCGATGTAGGAAACTTTATAAGTGTAGATTACTGACACACGTCAATACAATCGCTTGTGCACCTATGATAGCATTGAAATTTTAATAGGTTTTTAATAGTTGGCGGCTTTACATTGATCTCCATAATCGGAATTTTATTGGTTACAAAATTTGTATTGATATATTGCCTGGTAATTGTTTAAATGTTTTTTATGATTAAAATGCGTTATTGTTTTCTATTACGGCCAATGTTGGAAAACCCATGGAGGCTGAGTGTTATACAATATGTATTTCATACATAGTATACAATATAGCATTGAAGTTTCTTATATTTGTTTAGAAAAGGTAGTTTATCATAAAAATGTACTGTTATGACACGGGAAACTAGTTTAGTTTATAATATTCTATAATTTAATAGTTCTATACTATTAATAAAAATATAAAAATTTCACTGGTATATTATATTAAAATGTGTTTTAGCCAAATTAAAAAACTGTGTAGAAAACTTCGTTGTACTCCAAACATATAGTTAACATGTCTTACAATATGTTAAGTTATTAATGGAGAATTCTAATCTAGTCAGGAATTTTTTAAAAAACAAAGCTATTAAATTTAAATAACTAAGTGTTGGTGTAAAATTAAGTTGATTCTCCATTTTTTTCGGTTGCCTAGTTTTTTTATTGTTAGTTTAATACATTATTGACTATATTGATAATTTACTCTGATATGCGGCGTAAGAAATAAAATGAGCATTTTCATTTGCCACTATCCGATAAATTTGTATTAGTTCATTATGTGATATTTGAATTAATTTAAAGATACCTTTCTTATTTATTTATTTCACTTTATTATGTATAAATAAAAAATGTTTAGATACAGGATCTGAGGGCTCTAATATAGGCAGTAAGTATACTGATTATATGGTATTTTACGAATTTTATTAAAAACATTTTTTCATTTTGTGCTAATAAAACTTACCGCACGCAGGAGTGGAATCCATTAATGTTTGGAATCCTAATCAGGAGACCGGTATGTATACTTTTAGAGTCTTTTTTGATTTTTTTGTACAAATATCTATTATTTGGTAGTATGTTAACTATGGAGAACTCTAGTCTAGTCGAGTTTTTTTTAAGAAAAACAAAGCTAATAAATTTAAACAACTAAGAGTATGTATAAAATTAAGTTGATTTTTCCTTTTCTTAGTCGACTAGTAATTTATTGTTAGTATAATACGTTAGCATAGTTATTTTATGAGAATGTTATATTCAGGAAAGGCAATAGCAACAACCGAATCGGAGGAAGGTATGTATACTTTTGTAATCTATTTCGATTTTTTTTATAAATATATGTTATTTTTTGTTAAATTTATCATTTTATATGGAATTTGGAGTATTCAAAATGCTACAATGTAAATGTCCGAAATTTAAACAGTATGTAGGGTATCCACGACCCTATATTAATTACGTAGATTTAAAAATGTCTATTATATATAAGTACAAATAGATACATGCTAAAACAATTAAATACACTTTAATTAAGTTTTGATACAAAATAGTAGATTTGAGGGATGAAGAAAAAATTTGTTTTCACTTTGCACAACAATTCCAGTAGAAATTATTATTAAGTTTGTCATAGTTTTAGTATATACATAAAATAATAAACGTTTCATTATTATACCCTTTCTTGTAACTTTATACAATATATAATTTTTTGATTCTGTTTTTCTTGCAGTTGTGGAGCGACCGATAGGTACATCAATAATTATGTTCTTATAAATTATTCTATTATTTTCCTATAGTTCTAATTTTTTTCTTACAAAGTTGTACGTTACACTTGAGTTATAAAATAAACACTTTTTTTTAGTGTGCAAGACTTGCGGAGGTAATAGCAAATGTTTTTAAATAATTATTTTACTTTTATTTGTAACATAAAAATGTAAAAAAAATACTATTAGTTATTTTAACTATTAAAAGTCAAACAAGGTTTTCCATTGGACATAATAGATATACTGCATTATTTTAAGGCATCTTATTGTTTTTATTGTTAATATCTCTTAATTTTATGATATTACATTACAGTAACTTTTTCCTAATATATATTTTTTTTTCATATTTTAGAACACAACAAGATAGATCAGAGATGTAAGGGCTAAGTATTTTAATCGATAAACTTTGCACTTATACAATATTTATGTAATATATTTTTTTTTAATCACAATATTTAATCGTCCAGATCCTTTATTTTATAAAAAATACAACCAACGATCTATAATGATTAAGTTATCTAAATGATATTTTTAATCGATTCAAACTTAACCAAACATAGTAGAATTCATTTTTCTAATTTATACTATTAGCTGAATATAATATTTACTTGCACAAGTCTACAGACAAAAATACTCTTCCAACACCATTTTTCTACTTTATAATTATTTATCTAATAATGAAAACCTTTATTACAGTTAATGTCCAAGAAAATTAATTAAAAAAAATATTGTTTTGTTTCAGTTTGCACCTATTGTAGTAAGTTAAAAGTTTTTTTAAAATTTTTTTACTATGCCTTTTTGAAATATAAAACACCCGGACAAGTATTACTTAAATTGAAAGAATGCGAGTAAGCGAATGGGACTTTCAACTAATCAAGAAACGGCTTTATTAAAGGTTTTCACATAGGTATAACATATTATATTTAAACAGCTTGCGTACGAGTCCGTCACACCACGGGATACATTTTTATTACTAAGGTGGCTAATAAACATATCAAGTTTCTGGCTAATATTTTAGTGTTTTCAAAATATCTGGCCCAAAACAATTCATGGAGAATCTGGCCCCTTAAATTATTGAATTTATTATTCATTTCCATTTTGAACGTTTTGAATACAACATTAATGCCCCCATCCTATCTCTCACCCCCCTATCTCTATCCCTATCTCCTTTCCTTATCTCTTATCTCTCTTATCAGATAAATCAGCTGTTATTTTTCGTTATACATCGTTATGATGTATACTTTTGACATTTTATTTTGATAAAAATGTCAAAAGTATACAAAGCCGTAATATAGTTAAGCAATTTGGTTTTCTATAGTGAGAATTGTTGAATATTATTGATAATTATTGTAATAACAGATTTATGTTATATTTCCTAAGTATTGCTATTGAAGTCTTCTGGAAACATATAACTTATGATTCAAAATATTTTTCGTTGTACGTTAATAATAAAATTAAATAGAAAATAGAGTAGCTAAAAACATTGATACTATGATGATAAATTCCAATAACAATGTTATACAAGGTCACTGTAAAATATCATAGTATAATATATTACAGAGGACCTTACTTGGCCTTACCTAACCTAACCTAATTGAATTTTTTTTTAAATTATCTTTTATTTTGTACTAATACAGAGCAGCCAATCAAAGTATATTGGAAAGTACCTGAGATTGAACCCAGTATGTATAGTTTTTTAGTCTTTCGAATATTGTGTACAAGTATAATTATTTGGTTAAATGTTATCATTTTGTATGGATTTTTGGATTTTTTAACTGTTTTGTTACAAGCTATGGATTATTTTTTTTCACCAGTCATTTAAATAGAAAAGTGTATGCTAGCAGAATAAGTGTAGAGAGAATTCAGACTAACTATTTTTCAATGAGCACAACAATTATTTTATGAATTATTGTTTATTTTGCATTATTAATCATTTATTTAAAATGCTTATTAGATATTTTGAAATGTATAACCATTGTTAGTTGACAAATTTTAACTATAAAAATAAGTTATTTAACATAGCAAATAATCTTATACACATTTAAACAAAATTATCTGAATGATTTCTTAGGTATTGCAAAATGTATAAAATATAATGATTTAGTTAGCAAATAATTTGAAAATAAAAAATAAATCAACGAAAATAACAAAAAACTCGATTAAGAAGTAAAAAAACAACTTGGTGTTTCTTGAGTTGGTAAATTTTTTTGATAAAATGTGTGAACAGATTTTGACGAAAAAAACAATAAGGTTATCCCAGATTTGATCTTAAAATAAACATTTTTTTTCAGAATGCCAGTATTGTAAAGGTAATTGTATATGACATAATATTAATTAACAGTTTAAAGTTAAAATGAGGGTTTCCATTTAACATATAGAGTAATCGGAGATATGCGATGTGATATATTTTCTTCCACTCAAATCCGTTAATGACTAAATAGCATTGATAATATAATAAAAAAATATTGTACATCCAAGGTTATGTATACATTTTTATGTTCGTAACGTATTGGTTAAAGACATCTTAGTATTTAATATTTGATTAAAAAATTGATGATATTACTTTACGATAAGTTTAGCCTAATATATTTTTTTCATTTTTTAGCACCTAACAAGAGAGACCAGAAATGTAAGAGCTAATTTTTTAGTTAAATTGATAAACTTTAAATTAATATAATATTTATGTGGAGTTTATTAGTTGTGAAATAACGTCTAATGATCTATATCGATTTAGTTACCTAAATTATATTTTAAATCAATACTTACTTAACTGAACATAGTGGAATCTACTTTTCTAATTTATGTTATTAACCGAGTATAATATTTACTTGCACAGGTCTACAGAAAAAAATACTCTTCCAATAACATTTTTCCACTAAATAATTATTTATCTAATAATTTTATTACAGTTAAAGTCCAAGACATAAAATTAAAAAAAAAATGTTTTGTTTCAGATTGCGTTAATTGTAGTAAGTTAAAAGCTTTTTTTAACATTTTTAATATGTCTTTATTAAATACAAATTATACGAAGTCATATAAAAATTTGATTTTCTATTGTAAATTGTTGAAAATGATCGATAATTATTCTAATGACAGATTTATGTTGAATTCCCTAAATATTGTCTGAACGTTATTATTGAAGTTATTAAAATTAATTAGTAAATAGGGTAGCTAAAAACAGCGATATATGGTATTTTACTTTTTATGTAACTTTTTTTTTATATGTTTTTTTCTCTTACTAATATATCATTCACTGCGTGCAGACAAGCTAGTCAGCAATGAGTTCCTGAACGGTATGTATACTTTTGTAATCTTTTTCGATTATTATTTTGTTAAATTTTAACATTTTATATTAATTTTGGAGTATTCAAAACGCTGCAATTTAAAAGTTCAAATTTTAAACAATCTTGACGGTATCTCATGGAACTCAGTTTTGGTTTATTTGTTACACTATCGTAGATTTTAAAATTGCTTTTATAAATAAATGTAAAACCAACGTTAATTGACGAATTGTAATTATGAAAAAAAAAAAAGATTTAAAACAGTAAATAATGTGAATACAAATTTAAACTAAATCATCTGAATGAGAACAATTGAAAGAATACTGTAGCTATATATAATATTTAATTATTGCTCATATTGGTTGAAAGAATATAACATTATTTAAGCATCACAATAAAAGCGTATACTTTTAAATTGTTAAATTAAAATGTGGTCAAACCATCAAATTTTAATTAATAGATAGAATAAATTAAGTTGTATTATTATACCGTTCAACTGTAACCATGTAAAATATTTAATTGTTTGATTATATAAATTTTTATTTTTGCAGATGACAGACAGAAAGGTACATAAATTATTATATTCTTAAATAATACAAATTATTGGTTTCTTCTTACAAAAACTATTGTGTAAGGAAACCACTTTGAGTTTCTTTTGGCATCCAATTGCTGAAGACTATATTCATACTAATATATTTATAGCAATTATTTTTAAAATACAAAAATTATCAAAACTAACAAAAAAATCGATTAATAAGTAAGGAAACCACTTTGAGTGTCTTTTGTTTGTCGATTTTCTGATAAAATATGTAAACCAATTTTGACGAAATAGACAATAAGTTTATCCTAGATTTGATCTTGCCTGATTCAATTCTCGAGCGATTCATTTTTCTGTAAATTGAAGTTTAAATTAAGTTGTTTCAATTATTTTTTTTTTTTTTTTATTGGTTTTGCTAAGTTGACATAAATTATAAAATGAACACTTTTTTTCCAGTGTGCAAACATAGTGATTGCCAAGGTAATAACAAGTATTTTTAATTGTTATGTTACTTTTATTTATAATATAAATATGTAAATAAAATTATATTAATTAACTTTAAATCGGATAACATATGCGGGTTGATATTTTTGTAATTCTGATTCGTTAATGATTTAATAACAATTTATAATATAAATATTGTATAACCATGTGCAAGTATTGAAGTTTCTGAAGGGTTTACTGAATTGGTTAACGACATCTTAGTTTTTAATTGAGAATTTGTATTATATTGATGGTAATATCTTACTATAAGTTTAGCCTAATATATATATTTTTTCCATATTTTAGCAGTTAACAAGAGCAACCAAAAATGTAAGAGATAATTAGTGTAATTTATAAACTTTCCATAAAGATAATATTTATGTTGAATTTATTTATTTATGAAATAACATCCAATGATCTATAATGGTTTAGTTGTCTAAATGATATTTTTAATCCATACTAGCTTAAGTTAACATGGTAGAATTCATTTTTATAATTTATATTGTAAGCTAAGTATAATATTTACTGGCACAGGACCACTTAAAAATTACTCTTTCAATGCCTTTTTTTAACTAAAGAATTATTTTCGCTAAAAATTAAAAACATGATTATAATAAATATCCAAAAATATTTATTAAAAAAATATTTTTATGTTTCAGTTTGCGTTAATTGTAGTAAGTTAAAAGTTGTTTAAACATTTTTTAAAATTGCTCTATTAAATGCAAATTGTACAAGTCTTGTAATTGTTAGGTTGTAGTAATATTAAAAGTTTTTTAACACATTTTTAATATGCCTTTAATAAATAAAAGTTATTCAAAGTCATATTATAGTAGTTAAGCATTTTGGTTTTCTAGTGAGAATAGTTGAAAATTATTGATAGTTATTGTAATGGCAGTTTTATGTTAAATTTTCTAAATATTGTCTGAGCTTTATCATTGAAGTCTAGGGACATAAATATTATTATAATTAAAACTATTTATGGGTGTATGTTACTAAATTAAATGGTAAATAAAATGGCTAAAACCATTGGTAGTATAATTTCGTGACATTTTATTTTCAGATAAACAGCTTAAATGACATAATATGTAAGTACTAAGTATAGTTTTACTCATTTTTTATTGCGTGGTTTAAATTATGAATTATTTATTATACATTTTGTTTTTTTGTGTTATAATTTAATGTTTTATAATCAGAATGCTGGACCGTCATTCACTTTCACTCCGATAGAAAAATAATAATTTCATTCTATAGTTATATATGTTATAGTTATTTTAACTATTGTATTCATATCTAACGCATTGATTTGTTGTAAAGAGTTTTAATTATCTTTTTAGTGTTACACAATTATTCAGTTTCCAAATATTAATAATAGTTATAAAATATAAACGATTAAATTGTAATTAGTTTGTATTTCCTATCATCGTTTTTAATAACTTCATTGATTTAAAATATTTAATTAGTTACATAACAAATAAACATAATAATATGATATTATTATAACTATAAAAATGTATTTTGCTTTGACTTATTAAATTTCCTTTAGTAAATATGGTGAACATTTACATAGCGTATTATGTCACTGTAAAAAATACAATATATTATACCAATTTTTTATTCAAAACAAGTGTTTAAAATGTTCTTAATATTTATTGCTAATTTAATATTATCTTTAACAAATTAATTTAATTTATATTCAATATATTATTATTTTTATGTATATTATGTTATTGGAATAATGTATTGTATAACTTTCTAAATGAAACGAGTATAATTTAGGGTATCAGAGATAACTTTAGGTTATCATAATCAAATCCTGTATTATTATGAGCATTAGCTTTTGGATTTCATACTTAAAGTATAGCGCAGCTCGTTTACCTGTAAATGTGTTTTTATATAATTTATTCTATCAGAATAATATTTTTGCAGACAAAAAATATAGAAACATGAAAACCATATGCACAAAACACCAATAGCAAAGTACACTGAGTATGTTATGTATCCACAAATTAGCAAGGAAGCGTTGTTTATAATCTAAATAGGTGTGGAGGGTGGGAAATGGGTGTAATGTAGACTTAAAGGGTAAAACAAATATATCTGTGGCTTGGAGCAAGAAGGGCCAATGTCAATTTTGTGCATAAACGAGTTAGTCTGCTAATTGCAAAAATTGAATCATTCTTTATATGCTGTGAAAAAATCACACTCTGAGGCCAAAAAATGAATTACTCATGAAGAGTTTGATAAAAAAATTAACATAGAGCCTAATGGAAAATAAAAACTTCAAAGCTCATATTCAGAAAGTTGCAAAAGGAGACATTGGCCCTTCTTGCTCCTAGCCACAGATATATTCCTTATGAATTTCCACTCAATCCAGACATTTTCCTAAAATTTTAGTAGGTTAAAGTTGACTTTATTTTTTATTTTAATTAATGAGCGCAATTGTATGAATGTCCGTAATATTGTTCTTGAAACACTATATACTGTATACCCTAAGTTATTTTTCGTTAAAATTTTAAAATTAAAAATAATATGTTTACCCGTTACCACAACTCTTCGATCAATATAATTGCTGCATTATTAAAGAAATATAGTGTATACTTGGTTATATACTATAAGTCTCAGTTATATTTGTGAGTATTGCAATAAATAATATATATATATATATATATATATTAAAATTGTCCACGGCAGTTTTCTTCTACTATAAGATGTAGAGGAACAATTATGTTTTCACTCTAGACTAATTTATTCAATTGTTTCTTCTCATAACGTTAGAAATATATTGTCATGCAATCTCTCTAATCACAAAGCACCCCCCCCCCATCTATCTGGTCATAACCTCCCTTCAAAATGAAAGTAAATTATTTATTTATTTATTTTATTTATTTAAGCTGAAAATTTGTCAGTAGTTAGAACTCATATGTATCCATAACATATTAAACGAAGAAAAAATTCTTATAACGATTTCCGACCCCCGGTGGACCGTTTGTTTATCAAAACTCATGATATTATATTATTTTTTATTTTAATAATGGAATACAGGCCAAGGCCCAGTGACATATGAAATATGTACATAAGTTAATCACAGTAAATATTAGAATGTATGCATAATAATAATAAATAGAAAATGATAAAAGTATCAAAAAATGAATGCTCAACGGAAACTAAGCTTATTTTAATGAGAGAAAGAACAGTCAGTATTGGTTTTACCCAACTAATACCTACTTTATTTTTTAGAAATATTAAAATAATAAGAATAATTAAGGGCATTGCGTAGTGCAGAGGATACTTCAGCTGTCAAGCGGCACAAGAGAATATCTGTGTCCGTTAGACAAGCATTATTTTGAAATTGATTTTATCACTTAAACAATGATATTGCTTGAAGATCTGCTGTATCGGCTGATTGGCATTCGGTTGTAACCACCCGGTACCCCTAACCCCCTATGCTCATACTCTAATGCGCTGTATTAGATAAATTATTAAATATAATATTTTATGTTGTAGTCAAAAATCCAAAAAAAAAAACAATGCTAAAAATATCATAACGCCAATATTATATTCGCTGTGGTTGTTCATATCAAGTATATGATCTTTTTTTGCTTTTTTAGATTCAAAACTATGTAAACCATGTTCTTAAGTAGTTAAAAATTATAATTATACGATTCTTGGAGGTGATGTGATTTATTTACATCGCAACAGTCGTTGTAGGAACGACACGTTAACTTTGCTAACAACATATTTTCACGTTAGAAAATAACCGTGCAATTTAAAACCATTGAAATTTTAGGAAAATATTATATTAGGTCTTAGACCTTAGACTGGCATACTTCCCTGCTTTATGGAAATTCTCAATCATCATTATGATCCCCAAGCCTGGCAAACCTCCCGACTCTCCCGAATCATATAGGCCCATTAGTCTTCTTCCGCTATTTTCAAAAATGTTTGAAAGAATTATCCTAAAACGTATCCTTCCTACCGTAGAAGAGAGCATACCTAATACCCAATTTGGATTTCGTCATAACCACTCCACAATACATCAAGTCCATCGCCTAGTGGATAAAATATCCTATACTCTTGAAAAAAAGCTCATTTGCACAGCTGCCTTCCTTGACGTGTCTCAGGCATTTGACAGAGTATGGCATAATGGCCTACTCTTCAAACTCAAATCTATTCTTCCACCATACAATTTTCTTTTATTTAAATCTTATCTAGAAAACAGACATTTCGCCGTTCGATCTGGCTTCTCCTTATCCGAAGTATCACCAATCCACGCGGGAGTACCTCAAGGATCGGTATCTGCGCCTCTACTTTTCAATTTATTCACCTCAGATCAACGTACCACCCCTAACACTACGACTGGTGACTTTGCCGATGACAAGGCGCTTCTAGCCATCCATTCCGACCCTGAAATAGCTTCAAACCTCGTACAAAATCATCTCAATCTCCTTTCAACATGGTACAAAGACTGGGGGATTAACTTACTTGGGCAACCCATACCCATAGCAAAAGGCTTACCTTAAATAACCGCTCTCGCCAATTACAGTATCTCCTCACGT